CTTCATGATGTTATTCATAAGGTTGTTTTCTTCTGCTTCTTCCAATTTTTGATGTTCAGGTCTAGATGTTGGAGGCGGGCTAGGTTCTGGTGATGCTGTATTGCTCTTCATTTTGTTGTATGTACTTCTGCCTTGACGTCTGTCCATCTCCTTGTGGTTCATTCTTGCTCTTATCAGACAGAGCTGACAGATTCAGGAAGTCTCTCTCTCTTGTCCAGATGGGAGCTCTCTTGTCCAAATGGGAACTCTGGGTCAGGATGGAAGCTCTTATCTCTGGTCCAGAAGGGAAGTGGAAATTAGTTTTATATGTAAAAAAGTGTTTTTAATTTTTAAACAAAAGCTAGATAATATCTTTATGACATTGGAAAAGATTTTTAAGACAAGATAAATACTACATTAAATTGCAAGTGAAAATGGATTTGTTTGTCTATGTGTGAGCATTGTAAAATCCAGTCTGCACACTCGAGGAGTGTGACCAGAAAAAGGTGAACAGAGAGAAGGCATGGAGAACTCCTAAAGATCAACTGGAAAGGAGATTTTAAAGACAATCACATGTAAAAACTCAGCAAAACATGAGCAGGCATTTGTCAGAAAGGAAAACCAGACTCACAGCTCCATTAATAATTAGGGAAGTGTGGGTTTAATTCCCAAGTAGATGTAACTGTCCGCCCACAGAATTGGTTTAAAAAAAATGATCTGATAAATCTAAGGACTGGCATGCATAGGAATCTCATGGTTTTCAGTTTGCTTGGCAGGAACATTGCTCACACATGCAGCAGGTGGCTGGTCTGTTTGCTTCTAATCTGTCTCACATGCTGGCAGCCATCAGGCTCTAAAACCCTCCAATCTAAACCTTGCTTTTCTTCCCTTCCTGCTCCCCATCTCTCCATTCAGTAGAGACCATCCTGGGGCCTCTGAAGCAACAAGTGGGAAGCCAAGTCCTTGGTCTGATCTTTGCCTCAATGATAAATCTTAAAAGGATATTTTCTGGTTAAAATTCCTCAATGTTAATAGCTTCATTGGAGAATGGGGCTGTTCTTGTCGGGATCTGCACGTTTAGAAAGGGCCACTGGCTGATTGAAGGCTGCTTTGTATTTTCATGTCACATGAGGCCATACAAGAAATATGTCCAGGGCATTCCAGAGGCAGTTGGTATTTAAAACTCTATAAGATGAAAAATTTGGAGACTTTCTCTAACTCCTTCATTGTCCTTGTTAAGTCAACCAACTCCAATCGAAGCTCATCTCTTTTTCTCCAGTTCCTTGCTAAACACGCCGGTAACAAATCAATACCATAACCATCAAGCTAATACACTATTAGCACTCAGTTTACCTCCCTCATCTCCTGTGCTCTGGCAGAGTGGGCACACAGATTGCCTTACCAGGCTCAGCATGTGGCTCATCTCCACACAGATCACCAGTACCCCAGGTTCCTGCCACTGGCTGTCTGCCTGCTCAATGTCTTGTGTTTTGTGTTTCTATTATGAAGCATTACATATACAGTGCCAATGTCTGCTAGAGGATGGGAAACTCTAGCAGCTATATAAACTCTAAAACAAGAGCACCCTTAACAAAACAGAAGGGCTTTTAAATATTTGCTTATTTTTATTTTATGTGTATGAGTATTTTCCAGTGTGTGTGTATGTGTACTACGATCATGCTTGGGTACCCAGGAAGGCCCGAAGAGGCCATGGATTCCTTAGAACTAGAGATTTTTTTTGCCTAAAATGGAGGGCAGAGCACAAAAACAACTAACCTGTGAGTTGCGAGTTTGTTCCTCAGACCCTGGCATTACATCCTGTTAGTACTGAGATTTAAAACAAACAAACAAACAAAACAACAACAACAAAACAAAAAAAAACAGAACCCGAGAAAAAGCCTCAGATAAGCACGCTAATGGGGTGAGCAGGCACACCCCAAGACGAGAAAGGGGCAGGAAGTTCTTGCAGGGCTTTAAGGTCAAAGGGCTATGTAAGTTTGGGGTCAGCTGGAACATTCTGGCATAATCAAACTCTTTGCTTTCGGTCCTGAGGGAGGGAGGGTCGGATGTGAACCTCAAGATGCTAAAAGTCCTGGAAGATTCCTCAGCTCTGCTCCGGTCCCTGCAACAGCAGAACACAGGCAGTGAAGCCATGGCGCCGGATCCTGGTAGCAGAAGGTTGAGAGCTGGTAGCCCTGGGTAGTGATGCTGACCCATCTGCAACCAAGGAACGGAATGAGACCAAGAGTCTTGAAGCAGAGAGCAGGGCAGCTGCACCAGGGCACAGGCATCTTCAGAGAGCTCACAGGGGTGGCTCTAAAGGGGCCGCAGCTGTCGCACAGATACTGCCCAAGCCAAAGCCTCTCCACAGGGGTGGCTGGTCCGGAAGGGCAGGTGGAACAGCAATGGCTTCCCAGGGCAGCAGCAATGATCCAGACCTGCTCACGACAAAGCGTGGCCTGGGAACATGGTGGCCTGGAAAGATCTGGGGATGCTCTGAGATGTGCCCTTGGGTTTGCCAGAAAAACAAGCACCAGGGGATCCTAGGAAGGAAATGGCCCATCCCATAGCTAGGCGAAGCAGGCCTAATGAGACAAAATAATTTAACTGAGAAGCTCCAGGGACAGCTGGGTTATATTGGTGGATGAAAAGTTCTTATTGATCAAAATTAATCATAAGTGTTAAAAAATTTAGTGTATAAAATTTCAATCTATGCAACTTGTCTTAAAATATTTCCAGATAAACTTCCTTGTTTCAAACAAATCACTCGCATATATTCCAGGTCCTTGGTGTGTGTGTGTGTGTGTGTGTGTGTGTGTGTGTGTGTGTGTGTGTGTGTAGAGGGGTGGGGTGGGGGTGTCTTCCCTATGCAACAGGAAGAGAATTCACCTCTATTCAAAGTTCCAGAGGGTAGTGTTTCCGTAGCATAGTCCCAGATTCAGGTGCTGGGCCCACATGGAGAATGGCATTCTGGGCCAGCAAGAAGGCTCGGTGGATAAAGGTGCCTTCTGCTTAAGGTGGCGTCAATCCCTGGAGGCTATGTAGAGGTGGAAGGACAAATCCAACTCCACAAACATGTCCCCTGACCTCCAAATATTCATCATGGCATTCGTGTTCTGTTCTCCACAATAATAAGTATACAGTTAGAGGCTGGAGAGATGGCTCAGCAGTTAAGAGTACTAGTCACGCTCCCAGAGGTCCTGAGTTCAATTCCCGGCAACCACAAGGTGGCTCACAACCATCTATAAATGTGATCTGATGCCCTCTTCTGGCAGGCAGGTGTACATACAGACAGCACTCACACATTAAAAAAAAATAAACAAACTTCAAAGAAATTTACAAATTACATAATTACGTAAACAAACAAGAAATAATGAGATCTGGTAACTCTGAGGGAGCCTGAATCTTTGGGAAGGTTAAAAACTGGAGCTGACCCTTTAGAGATCAAATCTCTGGCATGAACCTGCTACAGTTGCACTCTGGAACTAACGCGGTGTTAGCAAGCATGCTCTTTCCAGCTTCAGATCTAATGAGTCCGCTGCCTCCCAGCCTCCCAAGCCATTCATCCAGTGACAGCTGAATTTCACTGCTTTCAGTACAGCTCAGTGCCAAGTCCTGAGTAGAATAATCCTTTTATCTTCCAATAAAGGGGAATTACCTGCATTCTGAAACTCAGCTCTCTTTGAAGAGCTGTCTTTGGAGCTGGAGGCTTTGCATTTCCTGCAGTGGTCACATTAAAGATGATTCTCACTGATCTCATTGGGAGATCCAGAGGGCAGGGAGTTGATGATATTGTCAACTAGTCATCCTGTGGCAAGTGTTGAGATTTTCTATTTTAAAAGATTTCAGAGCACAAATGTCATTCTCAAAAACTTTTCTGAAAGACAAATTAAGTTTTCAAAGCCACAGTGTTTAGGGACCAGCTGTTACCTTGGGCCAGCATGTGGGGACACTTCGAAAGGACATAATTTGATCTGCTATCATCTTTCCCTGCCCCTGTGGAGATAATCTCACCCTGATAATTTCCTGCTGTCTATGGCAACACCATTGTATAATAGACTGTCTATAGTAGTAATACTCTCAGTTTTCTTCTACAAAGACAGCTCACGTTCGTCCCCAAACACAGTTAAAACATAATTCATTCCTAGTGGCAAGATGATTGACATGCCAGGATAGAGCTTGACACCTGGAATACATTTTTATTTTATTTTCCAAATTTAGGAAACAAAGGCTGGGAACTTTAAACAACTTTCCCAAGTTTTCCAAGGCTTGTTCACTGAGTGTGCGTAAAGGTTTCATGTCCTATGAGATGGGAAGCTCTGAGAGTACCAACTCCTTCAGACCAATCTTCCATCCCCTAGTCTCCTTCTCTTTACTCATTTCATTAGATCTAGTGCACTTTGCACACATCTTAATCAACCATAGTTTTTATAACTACTTCTCCATTGTAAGAAGTGGGTGTTCAACACGCGTTTGTCAGTCCTTCAATACATGGACTTGAATTATGACACAAACCCTCTCCACAGATTATCATAGTCATCCCTTGTCTAGTTTGCCCTCAGATACTAGTCATGTATGATTGGAGTTTATGTGTAGGTTCAGATGTGCCTGTGTCCTGCAACTTGGGCTTTACAGAGATCAGAGTTTCACAGGGAGATCAGTGAATTGGTCTGGAGAAGGCATTCTAGTGGGTAGCTGAAGTGACTACATGGGTGTCTCAGCACAGCTCAAGCCTGAGAGCAGCCCTCACCAGTGGGCTCCACCCCTTGTAGCTCTGTGGTCTAACTCCAGCTCTGGCTGATTCGGGTAGTCTGGCCTTACCTTCTAGGAGAGTGTGGGCACCCTATGGCATTTGCAGGAGGTTGCAAATAGAACAGCTCCTAACAGCCCTTTCTGAGCCACCTTAGTCCAAGAATGTCCCAGAGGAGCAGGACAGCAGCAGGCCTGTAAGTCTAACCTTCAGACTTCCTGCTGACAGGAATGGTCTTCTCCATTTTACCATCCCCTCTTTCCATCTACAGGTGGCAAACTGTGCAGCAGCTACAACCGAGGGCTCATCTCCAAAGCAAAAATCAAGGCCATCAAGTATAGCATCGTCATTATCCTCGGTAAGCAACGACCCTCCTTGTGTCACAAATCTGTACAAACATTCTGAAAACAAGCTGGTGATGGGCAGGCCATGCAGGGAAGGAATGTGTTACAGACACTTCTACCTTTCGCTAGAACAAAAGGCCCAGGATTCACCAGTGTGTCTGGCTGCTTCAAGAGCCTATTACTGGCTCCTAATCCCTCTCTCTGTGAGTATAGTACCAAAATCATGGGCTGGATCGCTCGGAGACAATCTGATTAGGACTGAACTACCTGGAGCTTATATTCAAATCACCCTCGAATTGGTTACTTCATTTAAGACACTGTCTCCCCACAAAAAAAGTAGATGTTCATTCTTTTTCTTCTGGATATTTAATTTTGGAGTCAATAATACCTCCCTTATGGCCACAGCTTATATTACTCACCCTTCTGGTCTTCTGTTCTTTTCTTTCTATACTTAGAATCCATAAAATCAGTTTGCACTGCTGTCTGTCCAAAATGCTCAGGCAGATGCATGGTTTACTTCCTCTTACTTTATTCCCCAACAATGACACATCCTCAGGCTTCCCTGACAAGTCTTTTTAAATAACCCTCCTCTAGTTTCATTTCAGTTTGGTGATTCTTCCCTGTTTCCTTTTTGTATCTAACATGAGACACATTCATAAATATAGTTTAGTTAAGATATATATAGATATAGATATAGATAGATACATATTAAGTCTGCCTTTCCTGTCACAATTATAAATCCATAAGGGCAATGACTTGCCCTTCAGTTACTCATCCCAAAGCCTAAAGTTAGGTTATACACACACCCTACTGAGTTAATATTTATATAATTAACAAACGGATGCAGATATAGAAGGGAAGGAATTTGTGCTGCTTCCTTTTATTTAGCTGATATACCTCATCTCTGCTTTTCAGAAGCACTTAGAAGCCCCACGAAGGCCTGAGCTGTGTGTCAAATAGCAAGAATAGCTCTTCTCCCCTTTCTAAAATACAAAATGCCAAACAGACCACATTGAGCATGACTCAGCCATCAGAGCATAGGCACACAGCACACAGCCATCTGAGCTGCAGAGGTAGTCACAGCTCACCAAGGCTCTAGGAACTCGTTCAGAAGCTTCTGAAGGAGATTAAAGATCCCTTGCCTTCATAACCAGAATCACAGATGCCCATTTTCTGGATGATGAGAAAGGGGATGAATGCTTAAACGTGAATTCTCAAGCTGGTGTGTCCCTGTTCAATCAGAAATTATATACATGGCCATATGAGGTCTGTTCAGCACACAGACAGTGGTGCCCACAGGCAGGTCAGCATACTGTCATAATGAGATGGCCTACCTATAACAAATATTTTATAATGCTCTTTAACCATCCTAAAGTGATAAGTATCAATGACACTAACTACTACATTTTTTAAAGTCAGCATACTACTCTAATAATTAGCTACAGTAAGAGTAAAATAAATAAAAAAAAACTTATAATAAAGCAATGCCAATTTCTATATGTAACTATATGGGCATAACTACCTGGAAGGGTGACAAAGAAATCATATGCCTACACCTGTACACCTACAAATGACAACCAATAAAGATGTTTTCATGGAGACACACAAGTATAAGCAGTTTTACTAACCTGATTTTCTGAGCAGGCAAAGAAACCCTGTTAAGGTTTCAAATTAAACAAACTCATCTCTCCTCTGTCTATAAGGGAACTGCATTTCTGAAAGCTTCAACATTTATTAAAAATATCCAGATGTAGGAGTCAGTCACCTTGAGCAGAGAGAGTGCCGTGGGCCGAGCAGGGGCTGCAGGGGAGTGGGAGTGCAGATTGAAAAATGCAGACCACCAAGGTACTGCTCCTTTCTCCAGTTCTGATCCGCTCCTGTACCAGGGGTCTAATCAGGCCTGTGTCAGCTTCCCTCTTGCGTAGACCAGAGGCCCCATCTAAACAGCCTTCATGCAGCAGCTCCCCTCTCCAGGTGGACAGACGGGAATTCCAGACCAGTGTTGTTGCCTGGATATTGACACAGCCGCCAAGTTCATTGGTGCTGGGGCTGCCACAGTTGGTGTGGCTGGATCAGGGGCTGGCATTGGAACAGTGTTTGGTAGCTTGATTATTGGCTATGCCAGGAACCCGTCTCTCAAGCAACAGCTCTTCTCCTATGCCATTCTGGGCTTTGCCTTGTCTGAGGCCATGGGGCTCTTCTGTTTGATGGTCGTCTTCCTCATCCTCTTCACCATGTGAGGCTCCATGGGGTCACCCAGCTGTCCCTGCTGCTTCGACTCCATGCCAGTCCTGGTGCTGGAGTGTGCTAAGCTTTACCATTAAACAATGTTTCTCTAAACAAACAAACAAAAAATATCCAGATGTACCTATAAAAATGGTTAACTCTCTAAACTACAGTGATTATAGGCAGGATCCTCTCATACATAAATGCCAAGTTGATCATTCAAAACATATATGAGACAATATTGACTGGCTGAACTGCTGCTTCCAACATGTAGAAGGACTGACATTCCTGCAAAACACACACAGACATGCACATACACGTGCACACACAAACACACACACACACACACAGAGACAGAGAGAGAGAGAGAGAGAGAGAGACAGAGAGAGACACAGAGAGAGAGACAGAGAGAGAGACAGAGAGAGAGAGACAGAGAGAGAGAGAAAAGCAGTGTTGCTCTTGGTGAACAAGAACTATTCCACCAATGGGATTAACCACCCAGAGTGCAGAAAGATGGTGATCTTATTTTTTGAATGACTCCCATTTAAGACAACAACAATACTTATGGGGAGGAAATCATGAATTAATTTCTCATTTCCAAATTCTGAATCAAGTTCCTAAATCCTTATCAAATGATAATGGAAGATAGTTGCCCCTGCATGTAGATATCCGTGGGTGCTGAACTTCCATTCTGGGAATAACTCTGGGGGAGAAAGGGTCAGGGAAATAAATTTGCAATGATGTGACAAGATAGAAGGGGAGCAGGTTTGTGTACAGGTACCCAAGACTATATACAGATCTGTTTGCCTGTATTAGCCAGAGAAATAGCAGGTAAATAGGTGATAGCTAGCTCTGTGACAGAGAGATAGATGACACTAATAGATGGTAGGTAGGTAGGTAGGTAGGTAGGTAGGTAGGTAGATAGATAGATAGATAGATAGATAGACAGACAGACAGACAGACAGACAGACAGACAGACAGACAGACAGACAGACAGACAGACAGACAGACAGATAGATAGATAGATAGATAGATAGATAGATAGATAGATAGATAGATGACAGGTAGATTAGATAGATAGATAGATAGATAGATAGATAGATAGA